TCACCTCCACCCCAGAAAAGAAATGTCCAGCAAAGAGCTGCATCATGCAGCCTTCAAAGGAGATGGTGTTTCTTCCATAGAAGGAATCAACAATCATCTTCAGTGTGGTGACAGAAGAAACACATGCATCCAGGAAGGACAGGAAAGCCAAGAAGTAGTACATGGGGGATTCCAGCAGAGAGGGGCTACCAATGATGGTCACCATGATCAGCATGTTGCTCCAGACAGTTGCAATATAGACCAACAAAAATACAACAAATGCTACCTTCTGAACTGTTGGATTCTGTGAAAGTCCCAGGAGGACAAATTCAATTACAAAGCTCTGATTTTGCATGACTTCCAAAGGGAAGGTGAAACTTAAATACTGATCATGTAATTTTGGTATTATGAGAACAATTCACTTCAAACAAATTGATAGTACTACAGTCATCCTCATTCAAACTCATCTTGAGTGCTTTTACTTTCACTGAGCACACATAATTAGCAATTTGCTAAAGGAGTATTTAGAGCTTGGCAGAACTGAAGTGTAAATAAATTACTGGAAACTTGAAAATAGACAGAGGTTTAATATGGGAAACAGCTCACCCCCCACCTCGGTAAAGAAGAGAAACAGCTTCTATTTCAAATGTCAGCTTGATCACTTGCTAGTGAATTCCTGGAGTGAATTATTGGGAAGCATTCTGAAAAGAAAGGAAATTTATGAAAACCAAAGTCATGTAAATTATTAATGTTGTGTGCCATTGACATCAGATAATGGTGACTAGCACACCACACTTTATCTAGAGATAGTCTTAGGCACAAATAGAAGGAAATGATCCAGTTGAAGAAGTGCTTGAAAATCATGAAATTTCTTCAAAATCCTGAACTGAATTGGGCTTTCAATGAATCAATTCATTGTTTATGTAGGAGAAGCATTAATAGAGACTTTTCTACCTCTATACCTACCACATAACAAGCGTGAATTGTGCTGAGATTATTTTTAATTCATCATTTGATAAATGACAACAAAAATCCATAAAAACAAAAATGTGTACTTCTGATTTTTCTCCTGGTCACTGAAGGAAATACTGTGAGGTAAGCAGTAGCTCAGGGCTCCATTTGTAGAAGCAGTTATTTTAGGTCTTATTACCCTATCTACTGATGGGAAACTCCCACTGAAAGATAATAAGTTCAAGCAAACAACAGATGCTTGATCTTCTCTGTGACACAGGAATTCTGTCCTCAGATTCAAGTTCTTTCTCCCCTATGAACAGGAAATTGGTGGGATTTTTTTCACTTCCAGCAATGACCTCCCGCAAGGGGTGACCTTGTTCAAGTCTCTGTGCAGCTGCAAGGAGTGAAGCTTCTGATTTTGTTCATGTATGAAGAAGACACCCTGAGAAGGAAAGGGCAAATGAGGTCAAATCAGAAGTGATCTCCCAACCACCTACATGAGGGAATTGGCAACAACCATGTAGGTAAGGAAAAGAAACAACATATTGGGTACCAGCCAGAGTCTTGAGGATTTATTAATCATTTGCCAATTATTCATACCATGTGACCCAGTCTGATGCAGTGTGTCTCCTCAGTGTATGTGTTTCGGATTCACAGGACCTTCGTGTAGAGCAGAGGTCTCATACATATCTTACCTGCTTATCTCCCAGGACTATGAAGTTCACATTTAAAGATCTAGAGCTGTTGCTCCTGACAAAATGCACTCATTCTCTCACCTATAAAACCAGCTTCCCTATACAGCAGGTCTTTCCCATGAGACAACTAGTTAATTCCTTCAGTTCATGGTGTCACTTTCCACAGATAGCCACAGCTTCGCAGGATGACTGTATCCTCACCTGTGTGATTGAAATAGCACATATACCTGTATGTAAGTGTGTGAAATTTTCTCTCTATATATGCATATATATGTGCATTTGTTAAAGTAGGTAAATCAAAGTATAATAGGATTTCTTATAAGAATTAAAATAATCTGATTTTATGCTTGTCATTTAGATTAAACAGAAAAATTTAGACTAAATTTTTAAAATTTTAAATGTTAATGAAATTAATAAATATACATTTGTGTACAACTAATATCTGCTCTTGGGCTTCCTTCAGAAAGTTCATTTTATGAATGAATCATAATTAATATGTCCACTGACATCACACTTTTTATAAATCATACCTATTCTCATTGTAATTATACTCCTTCACTCACGGAAAAGTTTTAGAAAACATTAGTTTATTATTCCACAATCATTCCCATATTTTTACTCTATACCATTAACCCTGGCGCTAAAAATATATTTCAAAAGTGAATTGCTATGGAAAGTTTTATATTGGAAGATATTACAGTGTGAAATGTAATAGTAAATGATCTAAAATATTCAAAAATAGAAAGATGCTATTGCAAATAAGAATTTTACAAATTACATCACTACTGTTATGAAGCAAACAGTATTATGCAGATTTAGAAAGTGAAGCATTTTTGCAATATGTTAAGTGAGAAAAACTGAATAATATTACTAATAACTCTTCCCACTTGTATGCATATTTAAATATGATTTTCCAATTTGTAAGGGAATATATAAATTGATTGCAACTAGAAATTTGTAATATATATTGGTTATTATGTTAAGAATATTTAGATTTTAACAAATTTTAAAATGCAATACTTGATTGTCTATTATCTAAAGTTTACAAAAAGGATGTAAAGTTTGAGGGAAATTTATTTGCATAGGTGGAACACAGAAAACGAAACACAGAATATTAAGTTAACAACTTCAGTCCCATGTAGTGGTGCACGTCTGTAATCCCAGCTCACACGGCCATAACGTGGATCCATCCTTCTCCACCCACCACGCATTCACTTTGATTTCAATTTTAAATCAACATTCTCCCACCGAGGGTAGCTTATGCTGTCTGTGTTTCCCCTGGAACATTCCATGGTCTTTCTTTTCTTTTAGTCATGGTCTAGAATACTCGGTGCTGTGCCTGAGGTTTCTCAGGATCTCCTCCAGAGGTGAGTCATGGGCTCTGGACCATCTCCTGCTTACGTGATCTTCACAATTTTCTCTCTGGGCCCTGCTATTCACACTGCCCACTCCTTCCATCCTCAGTTTTAGCAATAAAATTAATTCTAGCACCCATCATTCTCTAAAAAATAAGTTTTCAACTTTAAAAATAATATATATTTGTAATATTTAAACCTAAAATATTATTAGTGAGGTTGTCATTTTAAGTAACATTTTGTAACTATATTTAAGAGTAATATGTATTTGTGTATATTATTCACATTTGCATGTAATTTTCTAAATAACCACTGTTATCATAAACAAATATAATAAGTTAAAATCCTTCTATAATTATCTTTCTCACAGGTTTCTTAAATACACCTTATTTTTCATATGGGATTATTATTCAGCAATAAAAATCCATTAATTCTTTAATGTTAGCAGAGCATATTGCTTTTCCTGACAACCTGCAAATATTTCTTGATCAGCCTTCAAATCGTTTTCACCACTCAATGTCACCCTGCTGATTTTTATAAATCCTTAAGACAGATTAGAAAGATAATTATAAGTTCTGGAATTTAGGAAAAAAGCTTTCTCTTTTTTCTACTGTTGTCCTTCTGAATACATACTTCAGCTTTCTTTTCTTTTCTGCTGTCTTAATAATTTAGCTCGTTTTAACAGACAAAGACACTTAAATTTTTCTAAGTAATTCTGCGGCAGGGACCTGAGGCTATTTAAAACGTGAAATGCACATAGGAAAAATTAAGTAGGTACAGTTATGATCAGGTGTCTCTGTTATGTGGCCTGAGTCACTCTTTAGTACCTTGAAATTTTCTCCTATGTCTCTTATTGGTATGGTGTAGTGGAAATAGAAAATTACATGTTCTTCATTAATAACTCTATAACCTGCCCTCCAGGACTTAAATTGATCATATTACACTGCTATTCAAACACAGCCTCAGAAAATAGTATTTGTATAATCTACAATAGTGGGAATGTAAGAGAATAAATGATAAGTGAAAACATATCTAGAAAAAAGACTTGCTCAAATAAGTTAGGCACAGATCAACAAATACCACATGTCATCAGTGGAAGCTAAATGTGTTGATCTCTCAGAAGAGTAGAATAATGGTTACTAGAGGCTGGAAAGCTTGATGGGATTAACATCTACGAATTTGCAAGAATATTCCATATTCATGGTGGGAAGACTCAATAAATTGTAAAGTCTCCCCTTCATACAAACAATACATGCACTTGCTCTATTTTTAATTTATTTGGATTTTCCTTGAAGATGAAAAGCTAAAAATGAGTTTAATTTCATGAAGCTTAAATTAATAGGTATGCCAAAACATTCTCCAAAACAAGCAAGGAACACTGTTAGAACAGCTGCTATTCACTGAACATTTATTATGTGTTGACGATTATTTGTTTCTACATCTCTTAGCCTTGTTAACATTACAATGCTCATAACAAGCAAAGGGTTATGTAATTAGCCTGGTACAGAGCTCCAGATAGACCCACGCATTGCCTTAAATTTGGTAGCCTGAGCACAACATCACTCTTTTAAGCACTTTATCAAAATTTAACATCTTCTCTGAATGTGAACGAGTGAATTTGTGAATTATAAATCTCACCATGCATCATTTGTTGCACATTGTGGTGACATCATGTACTATTCTCTGCTGAGAAAAGTGTCCATTCAGAATGTAAGATT